GTTCAATGTGGAGACAAATGGAAAAGTGACTCTGTGGGATTGTCAGCCTCTGGATTGCGAAGGGGGAGGTCTCTGTATACAATCCGTTGCTTAAGTTTCTGGGTATGAGTCCAAAAAGCTCATTGAATATACGAATGCATTTTTGACTGAGCCGGGAATACTAGTTTGAAAGTTACATCATCCATTGCTCCTAATGGCACTGTAAGAGCAAAGGAACCAAAGAAGTTTCTGTCAATATGAGAATTACCCTTAGTGCACGATATTGGAACTTCCAAGTGTGTTATCTGCCGTTTGGTTGGTGTACTCATTGCGTTTTCGTTCCTTTGGTCGCTATGCATTTTTGGTAGTCTCTCCTACTATTGTTCGGCTTGAGTTATCGGTTGTCGTTTTGTAAATTAAAACTAATATTGCGATTAGGCATATTATATTTATGAAGCCATATTCAACGATATATATTGACGATATATAATTTCAAGATCTACATTTCTTTAATTCTTATCACGTAGTCACTCAGCTTATTCAACAACAGAGAGACTACTGAGCTCATTCCCGTCCGAACACGCCCACAAGGGGAGGGACAAGAAACTGTGTTTTTGATGTAATACTGTTCCGAGACAATCTATTTTTTAACAAATTCTAAAACAATCATGCTATCCCGAAAGCCGCATAACTACTCGATTTGAATTCTTCCACAGAATTGCTGTAGCACCGGCTTGCAATGCTTCGGATTTGTGAGTTCAGGGAGTGCATTTGAAGGTTAGGGTTATTTTTATTGAGTGATTACTTATTTCCAACGTTGTCCCTAAACATAATATTGTAAGAATTTATACAATCCTTTTCGGAAAGCATGTGCAAATACTAAAATGAATTATCTAATAGAGCAACTCTTTATAGCAATGCTCTGCACGTCGCATGACGTGCGAACGATAGATGACATTCATCGAATATCAAAAAGAGAATATCAAAAACGTCAATTTCAAAGTGCTTTCAACTAAAATCGCAACATACTTACTTTTGATCCAAGAATGATATGTGGATATAACATTTCTACAAACAAAAATCTTGATGTACATTTTTCTTGAGTTCTAGAAACTTGAAAACAATGTATGTTTATTAATGTTTTTATGTAAATATTACCACTAAGTGCAATTAGAAAGCAATAGGGAGCTTTTTTTTATACCACAGGCGTCAGCACAGTTTGCGAACAAACGTGAAATGAATGAAAATCATGTTTCTCACCGACTATGCCCCGAATTTAGTTTGGCATATCTGTGTGTCAAAATAAGTGGTATCATGACTGGCCAGAGTTAACCAGTATCTGATCGAAAATTTGCCCTGGGTGTGAATTCCCTCTGCGGAGAGAAAAAGAGTAGAATGATTTGCACTCTCCATCTTCCATTACAGTCTTTGGAGGTGCTCCTCCTCGTGCCGGCGTTCCAATTCATTTACAGATCTGAAGAATGAGTGTGAGACGGGAAAAGAAGTACAGATTCGGATTGAATCATAAAATTCCATGAAGGCCAGGTTCGCAACGCCCTTGGTGTCGTTAGCTCTAGGAGCCCCACACGGATCCCGTCATTGTTTGAATATGTAGATACGAATTTCAGACGAACATTGGACGCACACGTATTAATTTTTTCTAATGTTAACGTGTCAAGGGATATTGATGGAGCTGAACATTTCTGATTAATGTGCAACATTTGCAACTGTGCCACGATTCGCCACCGGTTACAAACGTCATAAATACATTAATATGAAATGTTTACTTGCAGATTTGTTTGATTCGATTTAATTTTTTGAAAAAATTGTAAAAAAACTATATGCAACGTATGGATGCGACGTATTATGAAGCAAAAGAAAAAAGCAATCCAAATATTTTACTTGCATTTCAAGTATCATTGGAAATTAGCCCATGGATTCTTGCACAAGTCAACATAACCTCTGCATTTATCAAAACAATTATGGAGAAGGATACACATTTTCAAGAAAATATTATAGAGAATTGTGCATAAATGTTCCACTAGCTCTTCGATCTTACAAAGCTGTTTCACTTGTTTTAAATTTGATTCAATTACTATAATTATATAATTGTAAGTATTAAAGCGTGTATTGCTTATTTGAAAATTCACGTCATCCGTTAAAGGTGTCTCTTTTTAAAAGAATAGTGATTTTAAGAACAGTATTTCAGTCAGCACTGCAATGAATGATGACTGATGATTGGCGACTAATGATTAATTCAACGTGCTCAATCTTTCACTAGGTTCACTTTTAGTTTATCATTTAGCTATGACATCCATCATCCGACCTGTATTTAGGGAACAAGTTTTTGGACAAGAATAAATGGACCATATATGCCATTATAAAATGCAATCCATTTAAATTTCAGAGCAAATACGAAGAAAAAAAAGAACTCACCAATAAAAGAATAATATTTTTCATCGTCTACTGCACTCAGCTCTAGTAAAAATATACTCTATTACTTGTAGGTTTCAGAATGTAATTGTAGACGTGGGCTCAGTTACATCATTGGAGAAAGAATTAGTCGATGCAAGAAACATCTCTTAGTTGCGTCATTCCTTCATTATCTTCAAAGTTAAATCTTCGTTCTAATGGATAAAGGATTGAAAAGCTGAAAGATACTTACATGTATGCACACATACCAGAACATTCATCAATCTGCATCCGTTAATGTCGACTCGCACTTCCCTTGCCTTGTTTCACATAGATACTCTCCTATGAACCCTTTTGGCTTACTTTTATTTGTTACCTGAACGGAATTTTCATCACACTAACCGTCAAGTATTCAATGTGTATAAAACTGAAACTGACGGAAATTTTCATACCCCAACATATTGGCGTAACTCCTGTTCTGGGCCTGAATTTGCAACAACCGATGACGTATTCGCACAACACTTTTCAACTGTTTCAATTTCCTTTCTTAATAATCTCGTAGATAAGTCACAGGGGAAAGAAAACATGAAAATAAATAGTACATCCTTTGCTAGGTGAAATTCACTTAAGAAGAGAAAATAATCCACGAGGCCGCTTGAAAGAAGGATGTAAGGAAGAGAGTTTGTGTGCATTGAAGTAATGAATATTTTGATTGCTGTATGCTATTAGAAGATAGCATATTTTCATATATTCGTATAGCTTTGAGAAAGTACTATTTACTTCTTTTCTCTATAATATATTCACCCGAGAGACGTTTTGCATAATGAAAATGTAATTAGAACGTCTTCTTCACCAAGCATAAAAATTAGAACAGACTCATAAATAGTAATTTTCACTCTTACAGTGAACATGAGAGAGCACTCTGGGAAGGTTTGGTGCGTTCATAGTCGATTTTTATCTTCTTTCCACAGCTTCTGGTAGAGAGTAGATACCTCGTATCCTTTCAAGAACTTGTTTCCGCTTTCTGTAACGCACTGGAATGGAAATTATGGTTATAGAATTCTCACAGTACCCTGAGAGTAACAATATAATATTAAGAATACGTTTTGCGCATCACTGTCAGTATGGTTCCGCAATAATGTTGGCGCAATAATAATATTCACATTAAGATGAATGTCTGGGTATTTTCTTTAATTACAACAGGATTTCAAAATACTGTACAATTTTTTAATGTGGGACAATAAGGGATTTTTTTGTAAATTTATTTTGTAATTTTTTTTAAAAGTAAGATATGTTCATGAATTTAACAAATATTTTATTGGCCTTCCCATTTTTAGAGAGATGCACGATTTACAAAGTGTGGCCACATATTTTTAAATCATTTTATATTACCATCATTACACAAAAAAACTTGTACTTTTCAACAGAAATAATCTCTTAGTTCTCAGTATATGGCTTGGAAAACAAGCTTAAGCAAGCAACTCCGATACAAAGCTCTTTAACTGACTATAAATCATGATCCAACGATTTCTGAAAATTTCATTGTGCAATAAAATTGATTATACCAAAAGAATTATTGATTAAATAGGAAATTGGAATAATTCATCTTCTTTTTTTGAATTTCTCATGTTTCTTTAGAATTTCAGATACGTTATACATGGATGTATACGTTTGGATATGTTATACATTTCCAAAGTATCTCATTTGTTTCACATGCATTATATTTTGATATTGAAAAAATTTAAAAATACTTTTTTCTCTAGAAGTATTTCAAATATTATTGTTAAATCATTAGCATGGAGCTGTGTGTAAGAGTACAATAACATTAATAAACCGCTAAAGTGTCTGATGGAATATCAATTTCACCAGCCTCATTCTTTTGCCATGCAATTAGGAAACGTTACATCGAGATGCGGTTCCTCTACCATAACTCTCTGGAATGCAACTACCTAATTGAGATGAAGCCATGTTTTTGTGCGATTTTTAGATCTAAAGTTTCCTGTCTTCTCTAATTCTCCCATTTTAGAAACAAAATGAGATCTCTTTTCATGAAATCCAATGCATGAGTGTAACCAATATAAGTGAATGACTAACACGCTAGTCACTTCCTCCTTCGACTAGAAGCAAATTCCCTAAAAATTATATTGACCATTCCTTATGCATTTATTTTTCAAGTTCTTTGCAGTCTTGAACCTTTATTATCATTCTATACTATTAATATCTTTATTTATTCTTATATTGATGTATGAAAAATATTAAAACACATACAGACATTAGAATCAAAGCAACTAAGTTAAAAAGTTGACAATAATTCGACGTTTTAACAATCGCACTTGAACTAATCTTGCTTTCAACCCTACTATCACGTGCTACGATACTTTCAATATATCTTGCTTTTAAGTTCCACTATCATGCAAGATGAACACCTCTTGTGAAAAACAGTATGTTCCGCTGAATTCGAGAGAGACATGTTGGCGGTCTTTCTCCGCGGGGTGGCTTTTGCATAGCGTGATCGCCCGTGCTTCAACTGCTTGGGAGGGGGGCGCCAAAATTTAAAAAAATACATTTACACTTGTAAAGTTTTAAAATTATTTTCGTATCGTAAAATAAATTGTTAATTTATTATACGATTTCAAAGGTTTTCTTAAATATGTTGGCTTTTTGTGGGGGGTGGCAAATTATACCCGGGCGTCAAACACGCAATGGACTGCTCCTTTGTGTCTTCGTCTGCTGTTAAATCATAGCAACTCCTTCCAGCGTGCATATACAACGAACATCAATCACGCAATGTGACCTAATGCGCACGAGCGTAGTAGCGTTCTGTGAGGCCAAAAAGTACACTCGCGTCCGGAAGATCGCCCTGCTTTTCGTCCTTTTCTACGGGAGGTTCTACGTTAGTGTTCTCCAAACCATGTCGATGAGCCACAACTCTATCTGAATTCGTATTTTCGGTGTTTCTTGTTTCTTCTTGCGTAACCTCGTCGTTGTTTTGGTCCCCTTCGCCTTTCCGCGTTCTGCTCCTGTTGGGTCTCATTCTGTGGCGGGATGTGCCTAGCAGAATAAAGAAAAATGGTTTTAGTTTGTAAACAAATTGTATGTAGTAGTTTCAGCTATGACAAAGTGGGGTCTGTGTAATTCAGAGGTTAGGATGAAAAAAATGTAATCTGAATGATGAGGTGGATAATTATTGGCTTTAAGTTAATTATTAACATTTGAAATAAGACATGGAATGATTGACCGTTTGAACGACCCTGAAGTTAGATCCCATTTGTATTATCATTGTGATAAATTACAGATGCACAAGAAAAGGTTTCTAATGGTCGAATTCGACTATTGTTTCGGACAGATCCATTTATATTGTATCTATAATTCTCCCTTTGCCATTGAAGGCAAAAAACAAATCCAATCTTCTGCATAGTAGGCTACACATCGTATACTACAATAATTTATTCGTAAAAAAATGTATATTATTATGAAAGGGTTTACACTAAAAGAATAAACACGAGACATTTTACTTTCGTGTCCACTACACAATGCTTTTATATTATTTTTTTGTTTTCTCTTACCTAATCGCAGGTATATATTTCCTTGGCAAATAAATGTTTTACTTACATTTTACATGACCCTTATTTGGCAGTAATTCGTAAATACTTACAAGAAGCGAAGAAAAGAACAGAAAAACTAAGGGAATGAAACGGTTTTTATCACGAATAGGTTCATAGCTTTGCTGCCAGAAATCTTTTGCATAAAATTCGTCTACGACTAACCCAAAAAGTAAAAGAAATTTAATTTAATTATAACCTAATTTTAATAAAATTAAGATTTACGTTTTGTGAATTGAATGAATATTAAACTCCACAAAACACAACAGTAGTTTCAGCGTTTTGTAACAAAATAAAAGAACTTCAGTTAGAAGGTTCTCGAAAGAAAACAACTAACAACTTACATAGAGCAACAAACCCTACATCGATAAGTAATTGTATAATAATAATAATAATAATAATAATAATAATAATAATAATAATAATAATAATAATGTGGAAATTCTAATATTAATTGCCATTGACGAAAATATCCTACCAAGCGTCTTGGAGCTCGTGAAACTGTTAACCAGCTGTCATTTACAACTTTAAGCTAAAAATAGGAAACAGAAAGCGAAGAGAGACGCAAAGGCTGAAGGAGGAATTGAACATCTCAGTTTTAATTTTCGCACCTGGTCGCCGTCTTCGAGATGATGATCCTTGTCCATCTCCTGCAACTGATTCCTTCTTATCGGATCCCAGGCCTTCAAAATCACCGTCTGACCAGTCGTCTTTAAAGCCGTCGAATAGACCGCCTCCGCTATGAACAGCTGCGAAGTCATCTGTAGTAACAGAAAAACAATTAGAACAAAAAGTGATCTATGAGGAAGGAAAGATATGGTTCTTGGGGGAAAGTACACTTAGAAACGCCGAACGAAAATACAGGGTGCGCCAGAGAAATTTACTTATTTGAAAAAATTCCCGCGCGGTGAGTATATTATATACCGTTAGAAAAGAAGCTCTCGACTGCGAAGGCCCGCTGCTCCCTAGTCCACAGCATGATGGCAACTGACTGGAAGGAGAAAAAAACTTGGGAACTTCCCCCTCCAGATACGCCCCCTCTCGCCCCTCTAACCGCGCAACTCACCGCGCGGGAATTTTTTCAAATAAGTAAGTTTCTCTGGCGCACCCTGTATTAGAGAAAATCTAAAAGTGCAGCACCAAAATATTTTATTCAAGAGCATATGGAAATTCCTCAAATGTTGATGATGACTTAAATGCACTTCCTCTACAAATATAACCTTTCATCGACAGTAGGAGAATGAAGACTCTTGGCTGACCTCCTAACTGATTGAAGAAATAAATAAATATCTTTTGAAAAGAGAAGACAGAGAGGTTTGTTCCTTACGAGTATTTCCTTATACTGGCAAGAAACCAGAACTCATTCATTAACATGTTTTCATGACATGACTTGCCTGTCCGGGAGACGCCGTCTAGTCACAGAAGCCAATGTTTCGGCCGTCATGCCGCGACCCTCCTCGGGGCTAAATGCTTGTCTGCTGAGCTCAGGGGTCTATTTGTCCAGCACTGACCGACAGGTCCTAAGGTTCCAGTCTCGGCTATGGCAAGATTTTCGACACTACCTACGTAGCCAGGTCGACTTCAGCCGCTGTCTGGAGGAGAATTCTAGCCGTTGTCTACCTGGATCGGTAGTTTCCTTTGGTCTGCCCACCCAAACTCCGGAGCAGAACAGAAACAATCGGAGCATGGACCGCGTGCGATCTTTCATTCGCCTTCTTTGTCCTATCTTCATCCATTACCTACATACACTTTCTACACTTACATGCACTGCACTACCACAAATGCCGGGAGACCATTCGGGAGCGTAGATCTGGCTGGGGCAAAGCCTCACTGGGAGAAGATACCTGGTTGGGAAAACTCCGCAACTCCAACTAGTAGGTGTGCGCCAGATTTCGACTAACGACCTTAGCTGTTAACGCGTCCAAAATCACTAATCAATCAATCTTTTTTTCCCGGTACGAGCTAAGCCGATTTGCATAGGCCTCTCACTTGAAAGAAGACTATTTTCTCAGGCTTTATTTATGCAAATTCTTGCCATCTATGTTTGAGGACTACTGGGAAAGATGATGGTAAGGCACAATGTACAATGCTCCATCAACATAGAACCCTGTAAATTTGGTAATGCTGAAAAGAAAATTACCTCCCACGTTTCCTTGTAACGAATTCAAGGGGGGAATTGGAATTTTGAATAAAAGTTACCTCGAAAAGGTAGCAGGCGTACATGCATCACATAGTATACGTCATTGTTTCATGATATTGAGCTCTTTTGAGTATCGTGGCTTGGGTGATCAGAAAGGACAAGAACCTTAAAACCTATGAAAAATTAAATTGATTATTGGATATTTTATTTAATTTCATCGCACATGTCTCTCTTTCACTTAATAACTTTAAGTAATGTAAGATCGTTAATCCACGCCCAATACCGAGTCTCTCTGATGTAACAAAATATTCATGACCTCGTTTGATGTTGATTTCCAGTACAAAGCTATTTTCTGTTTGAAAAAAAAAGATTTATAATGTGAAGAATTATCACACTATCCTGCAAGTATTAAATAACAATCGAAAACGAAAAGTGTCAGCTTAATAATCACATTCCATTCACCCTCCCTGAGCGTGTGCTTGTGTCATTGTTACGTTCCTTAGTTCGTCCCCACGTTGTGTACCTCCAACTATTCCACTTCCGACACAAAGTGTCTGTCACGCCCCCTTGCCTTTCCTTACGGCTCCCTCGCGTCCATTAAGTAATGGTGCGGGGAAGAGGAAATGTAATCTCTTAGAGCCCCCTCCCATGTAAAGTCATTAATACTAATCAACTCCATTAATAATTGAGGATGTCACATATCTACTTTCTCGCACTCCCTTCAACCACCACCTGTCTAGTTAGATAATATAGAGTTTAGAATTCATTTACTAGAGAGGGAAAGTGAAAATTCAAAACATACCTTAAGGAATGAAAGAAGGTATGCAGTTACATTTGGTTTTACTAAGATCCATTAGTGTATTAAATCAAAATTGTTGTAATTGCTAGTGTAATTTATTGTAAAAATTGTGTGAAAGGGTTGGGAAAATATAATCTAAAAGTGGTAATTATTATTTTATATCTATTCTTTGTTGTAATTGATTTATTATAATTGAATTTGTTATCATTGATAGTGTGATATACTGTAAAATATATATGAAAAGGTAGTGGAAAATGTAGCGTGTGAGTGAGTGTTTTTGCCTTCGATATATTTTTCGCTTTACAACCATTATTTATGTGGACTTCCACCTGGATTCATTATTTTAATTGAATACATTAACTCAGCAACACAATGAAATACCACATTAAGAAATTGGACATTTTTCAAGCCGAGTGTTTTATTTAAAACCTTCAAACATTTTAAACAGAAAGGGGAAATTAATGTCCCACAAGGTATTGTATGACGCATAACGCCTCTTTGGGTCTCTTCGATTGGAGATCAAAGAGAAAACAATGAAAAATATGGATACAAATTAATTAGAAAAGTAGCGCAATATATCAGCGACTGGTTTTTGAAACTGTTAATGCAGACGTAAGTAAATCTGTGGTGAGTTACACGGCTGTAATTGGAACATAATACGAATGACATTTAATTTTTGTAAATAACATTCTGGTCGCTAATAACTTGATTTGACCACATTCCTTTAAATAAGTAAATAAATAAAACATCGTAGCCATGGAATTAAATGTAGAGATTAAAGAACAATGAGAAATAAAGAAAAATGTGATGGTTTATTTCTCATTAATACGTTGTTTGTAGAATTTGGGCAACTATTTAATTTGTGTATTCTTCAACCAATATTTTATTACATGGATAATTTATTCGCATTGTTATAACCAATTTCAATGATCTTGTTTTTTATTTATCTTGGTTTATAGTATGAGTTGGAGGATGCGTAAAAAACGTGTAAACTGCCTCAACTCTACATAGAAGAAAAAAACTACATTCAATACAAGTGCTATTAACTAGACGTACATCTTACTAAACTCTACACTCAAGGAAGTAGCTCCTGAACGGTTTCTACTAGAAAGTACTAAAAACAGCACGTTGACTTCTAGAATTATTGAGTGATGTGAGACTAGTGAACTGTATTTCTGGAAATGTGATAATCCCTCATCCACGATACGTTAGACTATGGTTTAGATATGATAAAAGAATAAGGTTTGAAGACAACAGGTACGATAAACTGGTTCCTTGGTACACCATATTCCTTTCCTGTAAATCTTTCAAATTCCTTTTGTAATATGCATTGCTGTGCGTGATAGTTTCTTTAACCTTTCAACTATGTCTTAATCATTTCGAGCCCAGTTAGCTTTACATACCCAACCAGACTATTCACGAAACTGTTTTTTTTCATAGATTTTAGTATCCATAATTTGGAAGATATTTCTAATTTTTATTTTTTCCCCCAAGGGCTTTTTACAGTCGATCGCCGGTTACCCTTTACGTCCTGATGAGACACGTATTCGATCATACAATACACAACACACTTGCGGGCTCCACTGATCTCCAGCAGAATGCGAGGCCCTCCGACAACATGTACATGAGAGAAAAGGGACAAACAACCATGGCCAAGAGGGAATCGAAACAGCGATACTCAGACCGAAGCACTAAGTCAGTATACACTCTTAGTTACCTCGTGCGATTTTCTGGGGATGACTTTGTAATTTTCCTTAATGAGAAAATGATTATATGATGTTTATATTCTGTTCATAAAACCTGAAACATGTCATATGTCATGTTGCATTGCTGTTCTTCTTTCCTTTAGCCAATTCGTTTATTTTTTAGTGTTTACTACACTATTTTAATAGACATATTTATAGTTTTTATCCAATCGTTGGCGGTCTGTACTTCGTGGTTGCGAATGACATCTTAGCTGCTAGTTCTAACGTTACGTATAGTCATGGCAGTGATTCAAGAAACTGCTTAGCAGTGACCAAAGAGCGTTACCTGTGTAGGAGTTGTCCAGAGGGCCGAAGCCCTCGAAGCCGTCCGTGCTGTAGCCCTTCCCGGGGCTGCGGCCGGGGGTGTGGCTGAACCCCCCGGAGTAGCCGACGCCTCCGCCACCGCCTCCACCGTGGCCACCTCCTCCGTGGTCACCTCCTCCGCCCCCGTAGTTACTCCCGCCCCCGAAGATGGCTTGGGTCATTCCGTGGCCCCCGCCCCCGCCNNNGAAGCCGCCGCCCCCGGCGTCCCAGCCAGCGCCGCCCCCGCCGTAGCCTCCGCCTCCCGAACCATGGCCGCCACCGCCGCCGCTGCCGTACCCACCGCTGAATTCTAGGCCTGGTCCTCCACCTGCAAATAACCAGTACGATCACGTTTGTCAGTTAATCTCGCTGAAAATAACTATTTAGAACAATTTTTGAATAAATATCAGACCATATAATGGTTTTCACATAGTTACGAGTACATTGTACTCTTTGCAACTAGTTTTGCGATGCTCAAGTTCCTCTTTTGTCAAGAAAGGTTTTGAAAGCAACTTCAATTTCCTGGAAAATCAAGATAAAAGAAAATGATTCAGAATTGAACAATACCATCATTACACATTATAACTACACACTTCATGATGAACTGTATATTTATAATACCGGACTTTAATTTTAATACGAGTACTATAGTGCTGTAAGGTGATCACGCAATCTACCAGGAAGCCATTTTCGCACTATGGAAGAAAAAAGTATAAAACCAATATGTACATTAATGATGTATTTTCCAGAATAACAATGTAGAATATTTAAATGCTCTTTCTCGCGACGTAATCTTTGGGGAGTTATGCATGAGTGACTAATTAGTCTTTTTTAATATTGTATTTCTTATTTTAACTAACCTTTCTTTATATAAAAAAATCAACATTTTAGTTGAGTTATACTTGTTTATTTCTGGAGTACCAACATTTTGATGACATCAGACGAGCCTAACGCCTTGCGACTTTAGTGACCTTGACCGATGGCATCCAGCACCCGTAGGCGTTAACAAACGACCTGAAGGGCGCTGACGAGGGAAGAAAGGGTTATTCGAGACGGTGCTGAGGGCGGAGATCGGGTAACGAGTTGTGAATGCGTCTCTGACGTAAGAGGCGATTGGCACGAAGAAGGCGCCATCTCTTTCCAATATCACTTTCAGTACGGAAGGTCACCCGCGCTCGTACGCAGGTTCTCAGTGTGCACAATTCGCCCTCATGTGTCACACCAGGGTTCGTGCTTTCTATGAAAGAAAACTCGCAATGAATTTGCCTCTGGCAACCAGCCAGCCTTGGCCAACCAGCCTCTGTAGCAGATCATTAACATGGACTGACAGATTTTTGAGACACTTTGTGGGATAATTTTGATTCAGGGATACTATTATCACTTTAACTGACATTCAAGTTTTAAAATTTCACAATATCATTGATTGAGGTTTATTAGGTCAATTATGTTCATTAGCCACCATAATAGAAACATATAAAAGTCGTGTCAGAACTTGTAACAAAATATTTTCTAATGAATTACCACAAAAAAAAATTTGCCAGGCAACTTTTTCTAAAAACCATGGACATTATTACTCACAACAAAATCAACATCAAACACAAGATAAAAATACAGCCCAGTTACTAAAGCAAAATCAAATAAAACTATTGGCAGAACACGTAATTATTTATTTGATAATTATTTTCCCCCAAATAATTTTTTGTATCGTTCACAACTTTCCAAAGGCAATAATATCAGGCACGAGGAACAAAAAACAGTTGGACTAACCACCATCTGCTATGGTGACTAGGCCTGCTTGATATGAAGTTGGTATAAATCCCGTTTTCTAATAATAATAATAATAATAATAATAATAATAATAATAATAATAATAATAATAATAAAAAATAAAGATTGACAAAAATTTTTTGCGGTAGTTCATTATTCTAGTTAAAATTCCCTCTCTACTCTTCTTTGATTTTTGTATGCTGGCTAGAGCAGCTTCATGTACCGCAGGGGTTCACCCTAGAGTAACCTTTTGGAAGGGAACAAAGGGCAATTGGAGACGGCACTGGAGGCGGACATCGGCTGTCGAGTTGGCGAGCGGAGGGCTTGAAGAAAGCGGTATCGTTGCCCCTCCGCCCTTCCAGCAACAAAGGTCACCCGTCGCACACCCGCCCACGCAAGCGCCTCTTCGTGGTAGCCCCGAGGATTGACACCGCACTTGACTTTCGCGACCTCCGTCAACCTGCACTTCACAGAAATTCAAAATCAACTAGCCTATAATTTTGCACTGATTATGTACTAATTTTGTACCACAATAAAACATTTTGTTGAGTACAAAATTTGTATTTGAATTTGTACCACAATGAAACATTTTGTTGAGTACAAAATTTGTATTTGAATTTGTGCCACAATAAAACATTTTGTTGACTACAAAATTTGTATTTGAATTTGTACCACAATAAAAGATTTTGTTGAGTATAAAATTTGTATTTGTATTTGTACCACAATAATTTTTTTTGTTGAGTACTAAATATTTAGTGCAAAATTATAGGCTAGTTGATTTTGAATTTCTATCAAGTGGGGGTTGACTGAGGTAGTTTAGCGTTCGTTTTGCTCCTGAACAGAGCCAGCACTAGACATGGGCAGATCGAGCGATCGCCCGGGACTCTCAAAATTGAAAAAGAAATTAGACCTGGAGAAAATCGTTCGTAATTTTATGTCGCGGTACAGTAGTCGGATGTTACACAAAATTTTCAATGATTTTTTTACCTTAAATATTTAATTATAGTAATTTCTTATAAGGTAGGTCCCTATGAAATGATTCAAATGTCGCCAAAATTAAGATAGGGTCTCCATTGAAATTCATATTATTATTTCATGTGTTTAACAAAAAGTGATTTTATTATACACTAACTAAACACAAACCTTTTAGCGTTTTAAGATCGCCGTGGAAATTGTATTATTTGATCACTAATTTATTTAACCCTATTATTTAAAACATATTTGAAAACAAATACTAGCTTAAACGTTGTAATTTTCGTTATTTCTTGAAATAAAAATTACTCATAGTTTCCTGATAAAACCTTCATTTTTTATGAGGGGGGGCTACGTTTTAGCATTGTCCCGGGCCCAAAATTGTCTATCTCCGGCACTGCTCCTGTATTAAAAAACTTTTTTTCTGAGGAGCAAAGCTTGATATGAAAGGATATTTTAAAAACATTGTACAATATACCTCCCACAAAATAATGTAATCCATGACTTACTAATCGCCATTACAACTTTTCATGAAAACATCGTGTTTCTAGCATTCTTTTTACATCATTGACTAAGCACCTTCTTATGATGGTTCTTGAGTATACCACATATGAAACATATCAAATTGTGATGATTCTTGCTGTTTTGTGACTCAGCTGTCTAAAAAGACATCAAAATATTTAGTAATTTTCTGAAATTTTGCGCTATGCATAAAAATTGCTCCTTTCAGGGCGGATCTCAAAAAGTTTATTGCTTTTTTTATCTGATTTTTCTGATCCGCTTCTCCCTACTGGCCAGTTATAAACTGTGCCTCATCTATCTTAGATGGCGATATACTACATTAACCGCTGTGTCGTATGTGATTTTAACATCCCTTTCAGTTATTTTTAATATTCGGCGCATTTTGAACTCTGTTGGACATAATTTTACTTATGAAATAGTCCTATTAAATACTCCTCGCTTCGTGATTCTGGAATTTATCGACAAGTTCCAAACCTATTACCTATGATTATTAACATTACTGGGAGCGCCGTGGCAATCACACCGCAGATATGTGTAAAATATAGAAATGATTGTGGTATAACAATTTCACACATGACAGGATCAAAAATATTTGTGGCGGCGTCACCTATGATGATCGATGAATATTCAACTCCATAAGTCCCGATCACAATTCGCATATATAGGAAACAGCTAAAACAATAACCTGCCGCAATTTGCTGTGGGCGCGCCTAACGTTTACGTAACGTAAGCGCTAAACGAAGGGTTAAACGTTGGGGAGAGCACTATAGGAAAACCACGTACCTCCTCCGTGGCCTCCCATGACGGTGTCGGAGCCGCCGTAGCTGCCCACCATCACAGGCTGGTCGCCCCCCACCCACACGGGGTGCGGGCTTCCGCCGCCGCCAGCCCAGGGGGCGAGGTCTCCTCCTACGGCACGAGATTTTGATGAGACACTTCACAGTTAGGTGAACACTCGTATAACAACTTGGAAGAACACACGTACACATTTGCACTTCTGACGAGATAATCCATGTACACATTCGATATTTGGTATTTAATTGGCTGTCCGGGTGACGCTACGTCCATGGCAAAGGTGCCGACGTTTCGGTCGCCATTCTGCGACCTTCCTTAGGGCGTAATGCATTACGGATCACCCGGACAGCCAATTAAAAGCTGACTCCGGCCGCGGAAGCCTACGCTCTGGATATTCGGTATTTATATTAACCAAGATCAGAAAATATTTAAGGCAGTGAAGCATTATCAGAAAATAGATTCTTTAAAATGTGTTTATTGTAATGACTATGAAATGAATATGCTACCTTCACTTTTAATTTCTAAACAATTCTAATATTACAGATTAAAACTACATTTTCAAAATTTGTATACTAGGACGTTTTCTACAATAGTACTTTTTCTAGGTATAATTTAGTATTCATTAAATATTTTACGTTTTTTCGATAATTTATAACTTGCTATGGAACATTTACCTATCATAAACTTATTTTCAGTTATTTTAATAAAACATATTTTGTTACTTCAGTTTCGATAGAAACCGTCCATAATATTCCCAAGAATATCAAACAATGTAACTATAATACATTCGAAATCTTAAAAAATACTTTATTATCTAGGTTATTAGATTCGATTCCTCAGTTTTGCAACCGATCTGACGATACTATCACAAACCGGAATGCTAGTAAAATAAACAAAAATGGGTATTCCAAGCGTTAGAGTCGGGTTCAATAGTTACCTCCTCCGGCCGCCCAAGGACCAGCGCCACCGCCTGCTGCTGCCCAGAGGGCAGAGTCCCCACCGCCGCCAGCCCACGGTCCGGCGCCGCCTCCTCCAGCCCACGGCCCAGAGCTGCTCCCTCCATCGGCCCATGGCCCGGACCCACCGCCACCTCCAGCCCACGGTCCAGAGCTGCTTCCTCCATCGGCCCACGGCCCGGACCCACCGCCTCCGGCCCATGGCCCGGAGCTGCTTCCTCCATCGGCCCATGGCCCGGCCCCACCGCCACCTCCAGCCCACGGCCCAGAGCTGCTTCCTCCATCGGCCCATGGCCCGGACCCACCGCCTCCTCCAGCCCATGGGCCCAAAGAGCCACCGCTGGCCCAGGGGCCTCCAGAATCACCTGAAGCCCAAGGGCCGGAGCCGGACCCTCCGCTAGCCCAAGGGCCTCCGCTGGCCCACGGACCGGCACCTCCTCCGGCGGCCCAGGGACCGCCGCCCCCACCGCCACCGCCTCCGGCCCACGGAGGCTTGCCGCCCCCGCCGCCCTTGCCCTTGCCCTTGTCCACGTGGTTGTACTCCCACAGCTGCAGACCGCTGCCCGCGTACTTGTCTTTCCAAGAAACCTGCGAGAACAGAAACAAACGGAATTCTCATTGAAAATAGCCACAGTCGATTAAACGCCGAAAAGTCTACAAGTTATCTTCACTTGGTGTCCAGAGAAAGATATCAAGAACAATCTTATTGAACAGATTTAAGTGAATACATGGTGAAAGTGAAAGAAACTCCTCCTACGAGGGTTAAAAAGTAAATAAAAAATATGGACTTCAAAATATAAAATTGAATAGTATTTTCACTTTCATAAGAAAATAAGGGAACATTGCCTTCTTTTGCATCACGTATCAACGGAAACTGAACAACAATTTTGACCGATGTGATGGTAATTGACCCGAACGCTAATTACAGTAGTTGTTGTAGGGAGACACAGACTTTCGTATTATTTCTAATTCCATTAGTTGTTATATTGATAACCATATTTCATTTTACCAAAGTAAATTCAAAACATGTAGATTCAAGTTCAGATATTCTATTGTTGAATGCATCCCCAAAGCAATAATCTTGAATAAAATAAAATCGTTACCGGAAGCATAACCCGAGAGAACATGGGCTCAAGTAAAAAGTTTTTTTTTCACTGAAATTGATTTTTTTATACAAATTGTGTTATTTATTATAGTTTTTGTGAAAACACGTTTAAAGCTGACCAAATAAAATGCGTTCAAGTTTTCAACTTTTTTTTAGTGTGACAGTTAATTTTACGGGAAACTACCTGAATAATTATAAATTCATATTACGTCTACTAAAAAAAGATGCTACCAGAATTCCTTCTCAATATCTCAAGTGAAAAAATATCACGAAATAAACAACAAAAACATGGCAATTGGAACCAGGGTAAAAAATATTTTTTGTAAATATTTAAAGGATAATTGAGCCCATTCCTTTACAAAAGAGGAAGCAAAATTTAAGAACTTCGTTTTTAATATTAACGCTATGTGTAGTTTTGAACGTTCTGTGCACAGTGAATTTAAAGATTCAGAGTGTGCTTCACATGTTAAAAACGCATGTCTCTTCATTAAAGCTAATGGGAATTCACGGCATACCGAAACTTTTCCTTCTCACCAACTCGTTATTACTCAGATTAAAAAAACAAACTCCATGACATCTTTCAAATATCTACAATTAGTCTGTCCAATAGTAGTCTAAGCCACATTTTAAGAAAACAGAGAAAACTCGAGTCAAAGTCATATAGTTGTTGTAGGAAAAGTAGTGAAGAGAAATAAATAGCGACTTCATTCTTAAGTTTATAGAGGAAAACTGGTCAAACCAACTATGTACACCAAGATAGTTCACCTTCTTAGATAACAAATAATGTCAATAATTCATTTTTCATTTTTAGACTGTTAACCACTGGCACTCAGCCCTTCAATTGAATGAATTTACACAAATATCTAAATCACAAGAATCAATATGGTTCAAAAATGGCTTATTACGATGAAATATATCCTACAATTACGAGCAAAAAGGATGCACTCCGAAAATTACATAGTGTGAGATGCGGCTGTAAACAACCTAGAAACACTCTACGTATTCACCCTAAAAATAGTGTACCATATCACTTGGTATTAAGTCTCGAAGATTAATGATGAAATCTCTTTTACACATTCTGGAACAATCCAAACACTATTTATTGAGAACCCAGAGTTAAACATCTTTCTGAAAATGAAATTGAAACGTTCTACATGTTCTATATTTACCAAGATCTGTATAAGTATATTGTATATTGTATAGAAAGGAAAAGAATTGGAATGATCTCAATATCTTGAACATCGTTCGTAAAATCCGTGCTTAAGATACCTTTCAGCTGAAACTACGCACACACGTCAGGAAAAGGTCTATTAGTACTGTTCTAAAGATGGTTAAGATAAGTACAAGTAAAAATTGGAAAGTATAAATTATACTCTATAGTGAATATACAGCACGGCCAGATGTCAATGATTAGTTTCAAAAATAGATATTTTCAACTTGATGGATATGAATATAACAGGAAAAGGGAAAACGGCAACATCGAGATTTTTTCCGTGAGTATATCCATCTTCTGCCTCCTATTTCAGAGTGTCCGATCAATACAAGAGAGGTTATTTATGACCCAATCGATCAAACAAGTCTGCCCATCGTGACAGATTGGACGAGGTACCAGGCCAATAGCCGCGTGTGGCGCCTGGGACTATTCGAAAGTCAGTAAGACAAGTGCCAGATTAAGAAAAACTCATATTCTTTAAAAAAAATAACGTTTTTAAGTTATTCGTTATTACATACACGCAGTATACGCTAGCCGTGTATTAACTCACGAACAAAATTGAAAAGTTTCCATTGTTAAGTCAAGGAATAATGTTGAAATTAATTTCCTTTGCGTATGTGAATAACCATGTCATATATTACTATTAAACAATGATAAATTATACATTGCATTATTTGAATAAACGAACGAATGACTGCTTAAAAAAAACTTAAAACTATGTGCTGTCAAGACTATAACATTCGAATACAAGTATGCTCACGTAGTTATTTTAATAACATCGTTGTATTATTTAAGAGACGAATTTTTTTTGCAGAGGTTCTTCACGCTAACTTTTTCAATGTCTGTAGTGATGAACACGTAAAAAAATCATAGTTCAGTAATTTTCCTTTCTACATATCAGATACCAACTGAAGGTTTTGACAATTTTTTGTATCTAAAGCATTTTAAAATTTCCCTAAATGAATGAAACGTTTACGTTAAATTTTGGCCTCACGTCCTCTGAAGGCAAACCGCAACATATTGCTGAATTTAGTAGAAGGGAAACTACACTGATGTTCGTGAAATTTGCAACACCCAGAAGGAATGGCCGGAATTACTTAAAAATTGGTGGATGTTTAGAACGGAGTATCCCTAAGAAGTGATTAACATCTTAAGCCCTAGCTTCTACCAGCACCCTCTTTTGTGTGACAGGATAGGTCAGCGCGCCACAGTCAGTTGGTGTAGAGACGCGGAAACGTGCAAACAAGTGCTGGTTCCCGCAATATCGGTATTTGAATGAGTTTAAACGGGGAAGAATGTTTGGTCTCCGTGAAGTGGGTTTGTCGAACCGCGACATTGCGACTCGAACCTGGCGCGATGTTACGACAGTGATGAGTGTGTGTGTAGAAGCAATGCATAGAGGATGGTCGTACACAGCGACAAGTGTATACTGAACCACACAATGTGACCACCGCGCGAGATGACCGTCAACTTGTCCGCATGGTCGTAACTAATAGAACGGCTTCGTCCACAGTTGTTGGAGCACTGCAACGGTTGTGGTCATGTCTGCATCGATGGTTTGATGCCGTCTGCTGAGGGCTGGACTGGTGGCACGAACACCACAGCTTCGGATTCCGATGACCAGGAACCACCGACCCAGACAGCAATGGGCTCTTGAACTTGTTCACTGGAGTGCCAAGTGACAAAATTTAGTGTTTTCGGATGAGACCTGCTTCACTTTCTGCTACAGCGATCAACGCTCCCGTGGTGATCACAAACTGCCAGCCTGCATTGATCCGCGCCATAACGGACAAACATCAAGTGTGATAGTTTGAGGCGTCAAATGTGACGGTTTTGATCGTAATGTGCGATCTCACCTCATACGTATTGAGGGCAATCTCCATATTTCACCAGGATAATACCCGCCAGCATGTGGCGAGGAATGTGCAAGGTTTCCACGAAGAACAACGAGTATCAGACTTAATTAAAGAAAAGTTCAAAGCATTTGTTGCAAAGCTATTTGTAATTATTGAGGGAGATATCATCATTCACCAAATGCTTCTGGTGTAAAAGTGAGAAAGACAGTAATGATAATGAAGTAGGCTTAGTGAAAAGTATTGTGAAAGTGATGACTGATTGAAGTATTTATTTTGTCAATAGTAGGGATTTTGTCTTAAAGAAAACAAATTATTAAATTAAAACATTTTATATGATGAGTCCTCATTTTTATAAGATAAGTCGCATTTTTCCGTAATGGAAATATGGTAACCCTATCTACACGTAAAAAGAGTCGTGTAGACTACATGTAGATTACGTGTAGACGTAAATATACAGTCTACAACACCTAAGTAGCTGACAAGAACGGCCGCTGCGGCTTCGCGTCGTGCGCCCAGACGGCGCGAGTGGAAGCG